GCCCTCTTGGCCACCTGAGCACACTGCTGGCTCATGTTCAGGCGGCTGTCAACCAACCCCCCCAGGTCCTTTTCTGCCAGGCAGCTCTCCAGCCACTCCTCCCCCAGCCTGTACCATTGCATGGGGTTGTTGTGACCCAAGTGCAGGACACAGCACTTAGCCTTGTTGAATCTCATACAGTTGGCCCCAGCCCATCGGTCCAGCCTGTCCAGGTCCCTCTGCAGGGCCTTCCTGCCCTCCAGCAGATCGACACTTCCACCCAACTTGGTGTCACCTGCAAACTTACTGAGGGTGGACTCAATCCCCTCATCCAGATCATCAATGGAGATATTGAACAGGACCAGCCCCAACACTGAGCCCTGGGGAACACCACTTGTGATCGGCTGCCAACTGGATTTGACTCCATTCACCACCACTCTCTGGGCTTGGCCGTCCAGCCATTTTTTAACCCAGCACAGAGTGCGCTTATCCAAGCCATGAGGAGCCAGTTTCTCCAGGAGAATGCTGTGGGAGACAGTGTCAAAGACCTTACTAAAGTCCAAGTAGACGACATCCACAGCCTTCCCCTTGCAGTTACACTTGCAATTAAAATTTTTTTCAGTTTCATTTGATAGTCATATGGTTTAGTTTTAGGTAGTCCTGCAAGGAGCAAGGAGTTGGACTTGATGATCCTTATGTGTCTCTTCCAACTTGAGATATTCTATGACTTTCCCTTGGTTTGCTTCATCAAAAATCTTTGCTTTTTCCCAAAAGGTTAACTGTAAAAGATAGTTATTCTCCAAAAGAATTCAATAAAGAGACTAATACTTGTATGTAGTTTATATTAATACTATATACTAAAATGTGATTTTCAGTTGTTGATTATTAGATTCCATATTGAAAAATAACTCAACTGAGTAACTCGATTTTTTTATTACTCAATAAAGTGAGCAATATTGCATGAATCTTGGTTTTCTATTTTAAATGGGAAATAGTAATTACACATTTCAATGTAGTAAGTCACACTCATTTCTTAATGCAGTACCACTTTAAACCTCTTGATTAAAAGTCTAGAACTTGCTCCAAATATCTTCTGTAAAAGTATGCCGTTTCTAATATCAGTGTAATTGCTTCAGAAACTGATTCAGAGTTAACTGAATAGTTACTGCTATGATGCAGTAGGTAATAACTCTAGAAGGTTTTCCTGTTCTGTCAGGTAAAAGGCTGTCATTGTAAACCCTATAAGTGTATCAAAAAGTGAATATAATAAAACTAACTCTTGTTTTGTCATTATATCCATATGTTGGTCTAACGCAGTTATTAAATGAAATTGCTGTATTGGTGCATTGGGCTAAGTCTCTGGTTTTCTATTCATTTAGTTAGTTATTCCTAATGGTTATACCAGGTTCTCTTAAGTTTGGTGTTTTGTTGTTTTTTTTTACAGGTTACAGAAATCATATCTCTTCTGAGATATGATTTTAGATATTACAATGTAGATAATTAACTGTTTTAGTATTTCTGAGTTCTATAAAATACAAATATTTTTGTCCTAGATGCTGTATAAGGGTAGTGCATACTTAAGTAACCCTATTAAGTACTTCTTAGGTTTCAAATAAACCTCTATAGTAAAATTCTGTCACTTTTTGAATAGATTTCTTTACAGGGGATCTCATGTGGTATTTACAATATTTTAATAAGACTGCTTCAGTGGAAACTGCATTTACATTGAAAACTCTGAGGACACTTGTATGAATGCATTCTCTTTGTTCTAAGGCTTTTAGAAATCACATATCCTTTGTCTGGTTTTCTTTAGAATATTTTCCATTAGAATAGTTTATTTTATAAATTGAATGCTAATTGTTTCTGTTATGTGATTTTCATTATTAATTCAGTTTGGAGAGGAGAAGTGCTCAAATCTACATTTAGAGCTTTTTTACTAATCTGAGAAACCAATGCAGTATTTTTATGTACTACTCTGTCTTCTATTTGCATTTTAGTTTGGAAATTTCTCTAATTAAGAAAAATGAGGGACCCCGGTGGCCAGAGCTAATAGTTGGTGACACAAGAGGGGAATTCATTATGGACTCTTCTCAATGCTCTGAAATAACTGAAAGCCTGATGCATCTTACCTCTGAAGTAATGGTAAGGAGTTGAAAGTAAAACATTTAAAATTCTTGTAGAATTCTTGTTGTCTTTTCTTGATATCCTAATTTGCACTTCATTGACATAGCTCATCAGTTCATTTACTATTCAGAATCCTAACTCTACATTCATTTTTAACTGAAACTGTTAACAAACTTATGGCACTAGAGCTGTGAATATACTTTGAACAGTAGTATCATCTTCATGGGGGACTGAATTTAGCTTACGTGGTAGTGTCTGTGCACAAAAACAGAAGTCTGATTTAACATTGAATATAAATTTTGTTTTCACCACTTCGAATGTGGCAGTTTGTTTTAAAGCAGTTGATATAAGTAATTTTGAAGGATGTCTGTTCCTTGTTTATCAATAGGTTAGCAACACTTCTATACTGTCTTCCTAGGGATACTGTACTTGACTTACAGACTGTGAGCGTAAATGACACTTTTAAAAGGAAAATTTAGGAAAGCATAAGCATGACTCATGAACTTTCTGGCATTATTGTTTTACAGGGAGTCTACTTAAAACAAAATGAAATGTCATTTTTAACTGCTGCTTGCTTGATACTTCCCCTTTTGGTTTAATTAGAAAATGGCATCTCATCTAAAACTTGTGAAGTGTGACTCCCTATGGGTCTTGATATATTAGTTTTGGATTATTGCTTTTTTTAATAAGGCTGAAAAGTGTTATTAAAATAAATTCTGTTTAGTGCTTAAATTGATTTCCCTCCTCTCTCTCCCACTATTTGTGGGCAAGATATTGTAGTACATCTTTTGACCGTAGATTTATTGGGAACTTCAAATTTCTTTTCTTTTGTAACTCATACTGAGCTTAAAGTGATGATTTTTTTTTTTTTTTGGCACAACTTTTCACCTTGTGTGCAATAATGATAATGTAAAAAAAAAAAAAATCTTTTCTTAGGTAACTGTTCATTTAAATAAATGTTGCGTAATTTGTTATACTGCAGCATTAGCTACGTACGTATAGTAAGGGCATTGATTCTTTTTGGTCATCTCACTTGTTTATGGTAATGATGTTTACCCGAAAGGTTATTTTAAAAGCCCCCCGATGAAACAGTAAACCAGAAGCCATTAAGAATGCTTGGTAGAGGAGAGGTGAACCCCAAAGTCTATCGTCTAAAGAGACAGATACCCTGTTTTAAGTCTTGTGCATTAGTCTGCAGTATATGACACTTAATTGTCCTGGTCCCTGTCATTTAAGGATGTTTCTTTGTTATCTCTTAGTGTTTGTTTTCTTTGAACTTAAATTGTCTTACCAATTAAAAAAAAAATTGTGGTCATGTCCTTCACTTTATGGACGGAACCAAAATAGAAGTTCTTAATAATGAGCTGAAATGGACGAAGAAAGAGCACAGAAACTCAAGAACTCCTCCCTGTCAGATGAATTGAGTCAGTGCCCTGTTTAATCTTTCCTTACACATTGTTTGGCCTCAGCTTTCAGCTTATATTAGTTGTCAAGATGGTCTTTTTTGTGCAAGAGACAACATTAATTCGTACTTAATGAGGAAGTGTATATTTTTGCCTTCTGTTAAATAAAGGTCTGTTTCTGTTATCATAAAATTAGTTCTTGAAATATATCACAAAGGTAACATAGCTTGGTTGTTTTGAAAATTACCCAAGGAAGATGTCATTAGCAGAAGTAAGCTGTTCTTGTATCCAGTAGTATTCTATCTTGCTCTCAAATTACTAGTAAAAGTGATGGTTTTTCCTTTCTTTCACTTGTGGGATGTGAGAAAATACATGTGCTTTTTTCTTGTTTTGAGTGCATTGAAAAATAGGCATAGCAACATTATTAATTTTAAATAACAGAGCTTCTTACAAAATGAATTAATCCATTTTAATAGCATTTCCGATGGCAATCTGAAAGAAGCTTACACTGATGTAAATTTACTAAACCTGCGTAGGTTTTCAGAATTGTATACTTCTGCTACTTACAGAAGGGAGTTTATTGTCCATGTTTTAATGGCTTTTTTTCCTTTTTTTTAACTGCTTTAAACTGAAATGGATTTTGTTGTACCTACCACTCATGCTATCCTCCACAACAGAAATTGTTCTATTCATTTTGAATAAGTACATAATAGCTTGATCTTTTAAGTATGTAAAGATATGCAAATGATTCTTTCTGTTCTGTTGAACTTCTTTTTTTATTATGAAAAGGGTTTTTTATATATATATGTTCAGTAGCTTGGATTTTCAGTGTAGTTCATTGTCTTTTTATTTCAGAATCCAAACCCTGAAAAGGAAAACCCACCTTGTAATGCTCAAGAATTAGAAGAATGTGATGCTTTTCTTGAAGATAGCGCAAGCTTATGCAGATTTGATGGTGATACCTTGAAAGTCACTCATGTAGTAAGTGCTGCAAGTTATTATACAGAAATATTTTTAAACATTTTTTGAAATGCAAGCTGAATTCTATTATCAGAACAAAAATCTGTGCGAACTCTTGAAACCACATAAATTTCTTCCATAATGTAAAATCACAGTAGCAACGGAAATTATCAACCAATATGTGTTCTTTAATGCCATTTTAACGTAAAAACAAGGCTCCTTTTATTCTGATTTTAAAAATATATATACTTTCACAAGTGAGCCATTTGAAAAAGCAATGTCAGAATAATGATAAGAAAGGGGTCTTTTTCAGTGGCATAAAATTCTTCTAGATTTCTTAGCTTGCATTTCGCTCAGTAATTTTTCAGATAGCGTGGTAGAAAGTTAACCCTTTTTACTAAGGAGCTGGAGCATAGATCACTTTATGATACTTGTTTGTCAGTCACACTGGAAATAACAGATTGTAAGCAAAATGCTGAAATAGGAGGCTTGATCTGAGTTATAAGCAACGTTGACTAACAGTAAGTTAGGACTTGATCTAGTCCATTGGCTAAAGGGGGAAACAAAATAATCACATGAAAGCATCACAGATTAAGTTGTCATCTTGGGTTTTTTTGTTTTTTGTTTTTTGGTTTTTTTTCAAGATGTCTCTACTAAGCTTGTAATAAACATTGGTATTGCACCTCATCACTACCTTGTGTCATGCAAAGTACATGTAGGAAAACCTGTTTCGTACAGAAAATGTTATAGTTACAGGATAAGATTTTTAATCAGTTAATAATTTCCCATTTCCTCAGAAAAGCTCTAGAAGAAGTCTTAAGTCTGTGTCTTACAGATCTTGGTTTGTTCTTTTAAAAAAAAAATACTCTTTTTTCCTTTTGCAGTACAGATACATATGTATATGTCTGTATGTGTGTATATATATATGTATGTATATATATGCCTGTAAACGCATCTGTGCTGCCAAAGAAAAAAAAAGATTAATTTTAAAGGCTAGCATGCTCCACGAAGAAAGGCGTCTGTTTTGTGGATACAGTGTGATAGGTAGCATTTGTCAGAAGATAAAATCAGTAATTGGTAGGAGGACATTTTATAGCAACTCAGTTCAAATGGATTTTAGCTGTTCAGTGATGTGTGGTAAGCGAACAAAAGACAGCAGGCATAAGTAGAAACGAGGTTCAAACTCGGTGGAAGGAAAAACTTTCACACAATGGTTGTAGCATGGATTGGGCTGTCTAGTAAGGTTGTGCCACCTCTGCCCTTGAGGTTTTCAAGACCGGACTGGATAAAGTTATGAATAACTTAGCCTAAACTACTGCTTCTTGCCCTGAAGGATAAGAAGTTCGTGCCTCAATGACTTTGCTCTTAAGTTGGACAGAACTTTGTGAAATGTGCATCCAGGATCTTAGAGAATTTAAGACCATGAAATATTTATATAGGAACATTTCCCACATTAAGTTAGAATTTAAGGATATAAAACGTAGATGATGTAATGATATCTGTTCTGTAAAGAGACTTGATTCTATTTTTCTTGACATTTTCTAGTGCATTTCAATGGCAATAATCCAGCCGAAATAAATAGGTTTGACAGCCAGCAATCTCTGTCAAATATATTGCTATACTGGCCTGTTCTTGTATGGCAAAATGACATTTGTCTCCTCTAGCTCTAATGCAGTTATTCAGTTTCTCCTATGGAGAAATATTTGCTTTATTAATATAAATTCTTTAAGTTAGGTTAACGGTGGCCTAACCTCCAGTGTGTTGTGTTTCCAAGCCATCAGAAACTAGAGATGCATGATGGACAACATTTTTTGCTGTGGAGGGGGGGCGCTTTGTCAGGTGAAGTATGGGCTACCTAAAAACACTACCTTGTTTTTGGAACTGCTTGCAGTAGCATTTACAGCGTGAAGTTTGCCTTCTCTGTGTTATGTAGATAAATATGTATACTACCATATGCTTGAGTTCTGTATTTATGCATCCTGCTAAAACCAATTGCAGGCATGTATGACAAAATGCACAAAAATTAGTAGTTGAAAAAATGCTGAAAGATGCCTGAAGTACAAAGTGGCGCTGTGTGCTTGCAGTGGGGTAACCCAGGCATCCCAATACGTAGGAAAATTGGGATGGCTTAAGGGAAGAGACGCTGCTTGGTTTTAGATGGAAAAGAAGAGAATATTCCCAGTGATTTGTGGAGCAAGGAGAAAATAGGAAATGGACTATGTAAACCTAGGTTTTTGAATAGCTAATTGCAGTAGGTAATCTCGGAGAACAGTTGATTTGTGGCAGGAGACTTTTTTTGGTTGATAGGTGGATTATGGAAACAACAACCGTTGTTTCTGTTCATTTTCTACTAGCTGACATACAAGATCACTCTTCCCTTCCTTGTATGCCTATATAGAAGGATGAATCTGCCTTCTCAGTAGGTGCCAGAATGACCTCTGTTAACTACAACTGCATGTCATTCTGTGAAATACATTGAATCATAGAATCATTTAGGTTGGAAAAGACCTTTAAGATCAAGTCCAACCGTTAACCTAGCACTGCCAAGTCCACCACTAAACCATGTCCCTAAGTGTCACATCTACACATCTTTTAAATACCTCCAGGGATGGAGACTCAACCACTTCCCTGGGCAGCCTGTTCCAGTGCTTGACAACCCTTTTGGTGAAGGAATATTTTCCAATATCCAATCTAAACCTCTTCTGGCACGACTTGAGGCAGTTGCCTCTTGTCCTATCGCTTGTTACTAGGGAGAAGAGACAGACCCCCACCTCGCTACAACCTCCTTTCAGGTAGTTGTAGAGAGCAATAAGGTCTCCCCTCAGCTTCCTTTTCTCCAGACTAAACAACCCCAGTTCTCTCAGCTGCTCTTGTGCTCTAGACTCTTCACCAACTTCATTGCCCTTCTTTGGACACGCTCCAGCACCTCAATGCCCTTATTGTAGTGAGGGGTCCAAAACTGAACACAGTATTCAAGGTGTAGCCTCACCAGTGCCGAGGACAGAGGGACAATCACCTCCCTGGTCCTGCTGGCCACACTATTTCTGATACAAGCCAGGATGCCATTGGCCCTCTTGGCCACCTGAGCACACTGCTGCCTCATAGTCAGCCAGCTGTCGACCAACCCCCCCAGGTCCTTTTCAGCCAGGCAGCTCTCCAGCCACTCCTCCCCCCGCCTGCTTGTAGATCCTTCCTACCCTTCAGCAGGTCAACACTCCTGACCAACTTGGTGTCATCTGCAAACTTACCTAGGGTGCACTCAATCCCCTCATCCAGATCATTGATAAAGATATTAAACAGAACTGCAGAACTGGCCCCAGTACTGAGCCCTGGGGAACACCACTTGTGACTGGCTGCCAACTGGATTTAACTCTATTCACCACATCATGCTTGCATCTGAGCTATGAGAGTGTGGAAGGCATGTGCATGTCCATTGGAGTGGAGATGCTCTAGTGGTGATAGAGAAGAGGCAAGGTCTTCCTCAAGAGCTTTTCTGGGTCTGGATGCTTTGCCTGAATAACTGCTTCAGGTTTGAATGATTCTTTATTACAGTCGAGTTTCTCGTGTTCTGACAACACTCATAAAATTTTTTTTTCATTTGGACTGTCTGTCCAAGTGATATCTCTGCTGCATGTAAAATAGGCAACTAACCCAGCTTAAATAACATTTATTGAGTTTTTCAAAACACTGTAAATTACTTCTGGGGGAAAAAAGTAATCAAAGTTCAGAATTACTTTGAGGTTCTGTACATTTAAAATATTTCTCTACATATTCCACGAACTTACTGAAACCTGGGAAAAAAACTTAATTACTTTCATCTGTTCAAAACTGTTTGTGATGTAAAAATTAACGTAACATGGCACTTGTACTTATCACATAGGTAATAACATTATTTTTAGGACACGTAGATTTAAATTGCATATTGCGTGTTTTGTGGTTTTTTTTGCTTAACTACAGATTTTTAGTAGAACCAAAATCTTGATGTTTGTAAAACTATCACATTCCTGACATGGTACTTCTAAAAGAATACATTTTTTTTAAATTTTGCTGTGTGCTTTACTAGATGAGGGATTTACAAAATACTAAGTGCTTGACCCTTAAAAATATGTGTAGCTGCTGTTGAAAGACATCTACAAATTACTCAGTGCTGGGTGCTGTAAAGTTTACTTCTTGTCTTATGTAAATAATTTGATTTATATACTGTTGTACCTTTAGTTGAAAATGGTGATCGTTGGTGACTTCAAAGCTAATTTTGTGCTAATGTTGGGATTTTACAGTGGTGTCATAAACATTTGTGCAGTTTTTTTATTGTCTGTGAAACTAGTTCCTCAGTTCAAAGAAATTTCATTAGAGTTGATTCCTCAGAGTCCGACCCTCTCCCTTAGCTAAAGGACTGATGCATAATGAAGTAAGCTGTGGATGAGAAGAGTGCTCTGGCTGTTATCCATTTCAAAGATGCATAACTTCTGTCAGTTGAGATACAACAATAAGTAAGGGGAGACACCTGTACATGGTGCCTCAGCTTGTAGAGCTGTATTGGGTGTTCATACCCAGGTGTTGGCAGCTGGGAGGCTGCAGGGGTGGCCTCTGCAAGAAGAGGCTGGGGCTACCCAGTGCCAGACACAGCTGGTTCCAGACAGCTCCAGTGAACCCACTGTAGGACACAGCTGAACCCATCAGGGATGCCGGTGGCCCCTCAGGGAAAACATATTTAAGAAAGGGTAAAAAATGCTGTGCAGCAGCAGTGAGAAGGAGGAGTGAGAAAAATGTGAGAGCAACAGCACTGCAAACACCAAGGTCAGAGAAGGATGGAGGGGGAGGAGGTGCTCCAGGTGCCAGAGAAGATTCCCCTGCAGCCCATAGAGAAGACCATGGTGAGGCAGGTTGTCCCCCTGCAGCTCATGGAGGACCGTGGTGGAGCAGATATCGATGCAACATCCTGTGGAGGACCCCACACCACAGCAGGTGGACGTGCCCTGGAGAAAGTTGCAGCCAGTGGAGAGCCCACACAGGAGCAGGCTCATGGCAGGAGCTGGGGCCTGTGGAGAGGAGCACATGCAGGAGGCAGGTTTTCTGGTAGGAACTGTGGCCCATGGAAGACCCATGCTGGAGCAGTCCGTTCCTGAAGGACTGTACCACTTGGGAAGGATTCACGCTGGAGCAGTTCTTTAAGAAATGCAGCCCATGGGAAGGACCCATGTTGGAGCAGTTCATGAAGGACTGTATCCTGTGGGAGAGATCCCATGCTGGAGCAGGGGAACAGCGTGAGGAGGAAGGAGCAGCAGAGAGGAAGTGTTATGGACTGACCCCAGCCCCCATTACCCATCTCCCTGCACCACTCTGGTAGCAGGGGAGGTAGAGCAGTCAGGAATGGAGGAGTGAAGTTGAGCTGGGGAAGGGTGTGGGGAAGGGTTTTTTTAATCTTTGTTCCTCATCATCCTACTTTATTTTTAATTGGTGATAAATTAAATTAATTTTCCCCAAGTAAAGTCTGTTTCTGATGGTAGAATTGTAAGTGATCTCCCTGTCTTTATCTCAAACCACAAGCTTTTTCATCTTATTCTCTCCCCGGTCTTGTTGAGGAGGGGGAGTGAGAGAGCAGCTGGGTGGGTGTCTGGCAGCCAGCCAAAGTCAAACCCACCACAGTAACTCAGTGCATATCCAGTTTAAAAGGCAGCAGCTGTTTGGCCTGTAAGCACAGCCAAAGTTCAGGATTAGTCCTAGACTATGCTACCTCATATTCAACAAAGCAGATAGGGATTATGGGAGGAAAGAGCTTAAAAATGAGAACAGATGAAATCTACAAGGAGTTCTGGGGAACAGAAGCTTAGGCAAATGTAATTCCAGTTTGTAGGAAGCCAAGCTTCATTTCCTTCTGGTGCTCCAGGAACAACTTGCTTTTCTTACCTGGGAGATGGGGTAATGAAGTAGAAGCAATAACGATGACTTTTGGGGAGGTTAGCTGTCCAGCAGCAAAACAGAGGTCACATTGATGAAAAACAACCAAGGAGGCTGGGCCTTCTAGGAGGCTCTTCTGGTCAAATCATACTGTAACTGATTGTCCATGACCCTGTGGAGTGTCATCACACCAGTCTGTCTGATGCACAGTCCCCATGATTCACTTTTACCCAGGTGTGAAAAGCATGTGCCACTGTGAGCAGGCAATAGGGGCCCATGGAGTGAGTCCTGAGCTGAACATATGAGAAGTCTCAACTTGTTCCCTTTCTCAAGTTGTTTCTCATTCATTCTGCCTATTTTTTCCTGTGCTCCTTGGAAGTCTGTCCCATTCACTTCTGTCGGTGTCATCTGCCTGACCTCTGCTGACTTCTTACCTTTCTCAGATGTTAAGAAGTTTGAGGGACTGGGACCTTCATACTTGCTGTTTTGCTCAGCACATTGCACCAATACAAGACCTGCCTCCTGTTTTCTGCTTTGTTCTCCTTAAGGCACCTTATTAGTGGAGCTCTTGATGTTATCTTCATTAGTGTTTCCTTGCCTCTTAAGTTGCTTAGAAAATTAGTAACCCTCATTTCATGATAGCATCTGGCCCTAATGGAGACTGAGGATTATTTCACCTCTTTTGTAGTTTTAATAAAACTGAAGAATTTGTGTGCTTGTTGAATGGCGTAGTAATAGAAGGCTGTTCTGAAGTTGAGCCATTAGACTTGAACTTAATCAGCTGAAATAATTACATTAGTTCTGCCGTAGACTGTATAACCTCGAGTAAACAAATTTCTGGGTCTCAATAGCTGTTGTTTCTGTCCACTGGATCTTATGAGATTAAATTAAGGTCTTCAAGACAGAGATTCCATCCTGTGACATTTGTACAATGATAGCATAAAAGGCTTGCAGTTCATAGTTATTGCCACAATATATGTAATAAAAAGAGTGCTGTGATGACTGTTTTGAGAATGATTAGTCAATGAATGTCAGCATCTGAAATGCTCATTGAGGAGTAATATATCGTACCATGCATTAAGGTGTCATCCTCCATGTTGCTGTGGCAGACATAGCTTCTGGATATAAAAAGTAGTTCAAATGTATTTGTTCATCTGGTAACATGAATCATGTAGATCAGCTCTGAGTACAAACAGAAATTCCTGAGCATTCTTTATTCTTTCTTGATAGACCTTAAGGGAACAGATTGTTCTTTCCTCTTTGAGCATTTGCTAATCATAGTGCTACATTAAAAGTATTGCTATTAACTCCCCTTAGAAGGCCTTACATAGAAAGCTCAAAATATGTGGTATTTTATTTTTTATTCTTACTATTGTTTATTCAGGTAGCAGGATATGCCTGTCTTGTCTTTCTTATGTGATTGGTCATTCCTGGTGAATAGAAGTGGTTATTGAATGTTTTTGGCCATCTAGACATATTTGATGAAGAGTGTGCTAATCTGAAATTTAGTAATTATTTGATTGTGAGTAAATAAAAAATTGATGACATTTCGTAATTTTAGTATTTTAACTAATCCTTGTTTCAGTGCTTACTGCAGAGGGACAGCATTTCCTTCTCTGTTGGCACTGCAGAAAACCTGACGTGATTACTTAGAGACGATCTTTTCCTAACATCAGAAGTTGTAGGTTAGGATCCTCTATCCTAGAAAACCATCTCTACACAAAACACATTCCCATTTGCTTGTGTAGTGACATAACGTTTCCCTAAATACTATCCCAAGAAACTTAATTGCATCTGCTTGAAATGTATTAGCTACCTGTAGTGTATTGAGCTGTTGATCAGTGGGATGCAGCATAATGTACTCAAACATTTTGTCAACTAACAAACATAAAGGAGTTGATCATCTGACTTTGGCAGTATGTGTGACAGAATCTGCTATTTATGCTTTGAATCAATATTTTCTATTTCTTTGTTTTGTTTTCAGATTAATCTTGGAAGCAACCAGTATCTTTTTTCAGTTGTTGTGGATCCCAGAGAAATGCCATGCTTCTGCCTGAGGCATGATGTTGATGCTCTTCTCTGGCAGCCCCACTCAGACCAACCAGAGAACATGTGGGAACACATTGCAACTTTTAATGCTTTAGGTAGGAAATTAACTTCTGTGTTACACTCCTCTATCTGAGACTTTTCTACCTGAATACTCTTAGTATGGCTTCTGTTGATATTTCACTTAATTAAATTTGAATTGAAAGGTACTATAATTCTGTTGATAGCAGCATGCTAGCTTCATTTTAGAAGTATTAGAGCATAAGAAATAAAATATTTATGCCTTGGGAAGAAAATAAGCCTTTTCAGACCATATACAGGATGCAAGCACAGTACTGCAAAATAAAAAGGAGTCTTCCTTGGATAAGTGAACTCAAATTAAAGACTTAAAAGCACAATTAGAACCTTAACGCTCATACAGAAATCACCAGGGGAACAGCTGCAGTTCATTGTTGACATGTCTAGGTGTATATATGCTTATGGTAAGATGTTTTAATAAGTGACCTTTAGATTTTTCCTGTCTCATTGTCCCAGGTGACAAGTCCAAAGAATTGGACATGATTGTTCACTGTTCTTCTGTTATAAGAACTAGGAGCATCAAATGATGCTAGTGTATAGTAGGTTCAAAAGAAGCTAAAAGACATACTTCACGTATGCTCATTTAAGCTGTGGAACCCTCTGCCGCAAAACTTTGTGGACATGGAAAGTTTTCATGAATTTGAAAAAAAAAATAAAAAATCATCATGACAGGAAAAATCAATCAAGAGCATAACCATGCCAGCTCTGGCTCAAGAAGCCCCTGACTGTTCTGAAATTACAGACTGCCAGAAAAGTAGAAAATGTGATTGTGAAGAATCGTTAGTTATTGCTGTGTTCTTGCAATCAGGACTAAAAATTTGGTTTTACCCACTGTTGGAAGCAGAATCCTAGAGCTCAGAAGAAGAAAGTACTTTGAAAAATATGAATGCATCAGTAAGAATTTCCACATCAGATTAAATAGGATGGTCCACATAGCCCAGTATTATACCTATAAAGTAAGAAACGAATAAATCAGTTTTCATGAAAATTAATCTGGTCCAGAGTTTACTTCTGCTGTGACAACTGTAGTCTTCATGTTCTCTAAGTGGTCTCTAGACCCATTCCTGCAGTAATGCCATGAGTGTGACAATTTATTCCCTTCTTCCCCCAAATACATTTGTTTGACCACACCACTCTCAGGCTGGGTCCAAAACGAAAGGGAAGATATTAGTTGTTTTATAGAGCTCATGTAAGTTACCATAACACATAATTGTTTTTGTTCTGAGCTTTTGCAATTTATTTAGTTTTTTAATATAAGTAATTTTTTTTAATAGCCTGTTATTTTAACTTAAGATCAAATTAAGCTATAAGCATCTTAACAAATCCTCGAACAAAAGAGATTAATTTCACAATTTGTTCTTTGTTTACTCATTTCAAATTTCATTATGCTGGGAAAAAACAGACGATAAGGATTAAGATGTTTTTTCAAATTAGTATTAGTTTCAGGTTTCTATGCTGACTTTGTAGTACTGTTTTAAGAATGTTTCTATTGTTTTGAAAATAACAGGAAGGAAATTATGATATCTTTGAGCTTTTTGTGCCTAAGGTGATAAAAACCAACATTGTTCCTCTACTTCTTTCTCCTTATTGTACTGTCATTTTACAATATTATCTTGACGTCTACACTTCTGTACTAATCTAGTTCACCTTTTGTGTGCCAGAGGTGATGTAAGTCATCAGCTTGTTTATCTACAACCAAATTTAGAAGTACTTTGCAAGAGCTAGTAGTAAAAATTAGTGTTTTCTAGATTAAAAGGCTAGTTTTCCAAAACCTGCAGTAGTCATTATATTGACCAAAGCAATAGTAGTAGCCCTATTTCCTTCTGCTTCTGCTCAAAATTTTGGAATTTATTTTTAACAAGCTGTACAAAGATGATGATTGAAAAATTAATATTTTTTTTTTTAACTTACCACAGTTTGCTGAAGAAGCCTGTATCTTTCACTGACTACTCATTAGTCTTGCTGTATAAATCCCCTGCTCCTAACAGGGTTGTAACTATAAACCAGAAAAATAGAGGACAGTGACATTTTTTAGATTTGTTTTTTTTAAAAAATAAAGAGTCCACAATTTCCCTTCTGGGAAATCCCATTTAAATACAAGTCCCCTGGCTCAAAAGCTTCTTTTACCTGCAAGGCTATCCTGCTTATAGTGCCAGTGTTTAAATATATGAATTAAATTAATGAACTCACACTTGGAAAGTTTTTCTGGCTGTCCTAATATTTCCCAGTACAGCAATCATGTCAATTGACAGTCTAGCTATACAGTTAATGATTGTTTTGTGGTGAAAACTGTCAAGCTGGATTTGAACGGAGATCATGTTTGGAGGACAGCAGCAAGCATTTGTAAATGTAGAAGTCTTATGGTTAACATTTAAAAAAAAAAACAACCCTCAAGGCATGAAAATGCCCTCTTAAAGTGTGATGGTACTGTTGCGGGTTAGCCCTGCTGGGCACCTAAGCACTGCACGGCTGCTTGCTCTCTTCCTATTCCCCCTCCTTGCCCGCAGCGGGACAGGGGAGAGAACTGGAAGAGCAAAAGCAAGAAAGCTCATGGGCTGAGCGCTTTGGTCAGTTGGGGTCAGCTGTCCTGGCTGTGTCCCCCCCCCAGCTTCTTGTGCACCCCCAGCCTACTGGGGGCAGGCAGAGTTGGAAAAATGGAAAAAAATGGAAAGCCATGACAATGTGCAGGCACTGCTCAGCAATAGCCAAAAAATCGTGTATCAACACTGGTTTAGTCACAAATTCAAAACACAGCACCTTGCGGTCTGCTGTGAAGAAAATTAACTCCATCCCAGCCAGCCCCAGTACAAGTACTTTGACCTCTATCCTGTGAGAGGGAGAGACAAAAGAAGTAAACTCTAGCATGCTTGCTGTTCTCAGAGGTGCTGTCTTTCAGTGATAACCATTGCCATGCATTGTTCAATGGAAGTGAAGCAAATAACCTTTCAGAAAGATGGTAGATCACTTTGCAAAGATTCTCTCTCAAGTCTCTACAAAAGTGTGAAGGGAAATCAGTCTGAAGTAAGTCTGTTTACTAATCGAGTTCTGTAATGGAAGAGGAAAAGGAAGATCTTTCCTTCTCAGTGAATATTAACAAAGATTACAGTGTGTTGAAAAGTAACTTGCGTTTTTTTCAGTCAGTTCTAAATAGAAGACAAGTGTCTGTTCAAGATTAGGTAGACTCAGAAATCTCAAATTGTAAATGTAACTACAAAATGGGGGATGAGGGGAGAGAAGAGGGTTATTCTGTTTAGACTACTAATATTGGGCCAAGGTGTGTATCCGTGCCTTATGATCCTGCTGAGAAAATGGAAGACCTTGTGAGGCGGAGAGGGTCTAGATGATGTGGGAACAGTATCTAGCTATACATAGATGCGCATCAAAAATGCCAGTTAGAAAGATGTACAGAAGAATTCTACGTTGATATTAAATTGGTTAATGCATACCTTCAGAAACCATTGGCTTATTTAATAACAACATATATCTCTTTCTTTCTTTCTTTCTTTTTTGTTACTCATTGCATATAATTTTTTAAGCTAAGGTTGATTTTGTCTTAGACAGAGTGCTGTTGAAACCAATGTATTACTTCTCCCTTCTACTTCTTTTTGGGCTATGCAGGTTATGTCCAAGCATCAAAGCAAGACAAGAAGTTCATGGCTTGTGCTCCAGATTATTCCTATGCTGCTCTTTGTGAGTGCTTGCGGCGAGTTTTCATCTATCGTCAGCCGACTCCTCTGTCCACAGTTCTCTACAACAGGAAGGAAGGAAGACAAGTAGGACAGGTTGCTAAGCAGCTAGTAGCAACCCTGGAAGCCAATGATCCTATTTTAGGCTTTCAAGCTACAAGTGAGAGATTATTTGTTCTCACAACAAAAACCTTGTTTTTAATAAAGGTGAACTCTGGAAATTAATTATTCAGTATATTCTGCTGTAGTTTGTGTTAACAATTTGTTAAAAAACTGGCTAGGTAAATGATCTCAGAAGTTCAGTACAATTTGTTGAAGTTTAAAAAGGAGGTATTTTACAGGGGAATCAAAATTTTTCATTAGAATTTGTCTGGAAGATAGTGAGACAGTTTTCAACTTGGCTGTCACTGAAGTAAGCTTTTTCAGAGCTATGGGAAAATGTCTTCTGCACTAACAGCTTTCTCAAAGCAATTGTCAGAGGCTGCTATTGCATAGGTGAATAGATTTATGTGTTGTTCTTTCCAAATGACTGTTTGCCATACTTCTGAGTTTTGAGAAGTCACTTCTGTTTTTAAATATCACTGTTTACCTATGAAAGAAGTAGTCAGATAAAGAAAATAAAGCCTTGAGTTACAAGCGTATGATGTGCAAAGTGAAGAAGTGTGTATCATAAAAAAAATTCCAAATTCAAATACTGTTGGCCAAAAAAAAGATTTAATATTTCAATATTCAGTAATATTGAGTGAAATGTGAATGGAATGAATGGAGTATTATGTTTCTTATACAGGTAATTAATTCAAGTGGAATAACTTGCAGATTTTAGATTATTGATTTGGGACTTACTCATGCTTGCAGTGAAATCTGTTCACATTTTAAGAGACGCTAGAATAGCTTGTAGTAGCTTTTTATTGAAGCAAAGAAAGAGTGAATGTATAGCTGGTGATTATATATTGAATGGTATTAGTCAAGGTCTAGTTATACTCTCAGTTGTGTCATTTTCACTTGACATTGTACTTCACCGCAAGTGACTAAATTACAATTAGAAAATGGCTAACAGAAAAAGCACCTGTATTGTAACCTGAGATGGGAAACTCAGAAGTGCTGCTTCTGCCTCAGATATCACTGGAAATACTGTTATTAGTTAACCATTCTGCCCATGATGCACAAGTCCAAATGTGCTAAGAGTACACAGGGCATGAGGATGCTTCTGTTTCACAAACTGGCATGGTTAATTTTGTTGAAAAGTTGTATCTGAAGATTTCTGTTTCTTATTTTAATCACAGAATCATAGAATCGTTAAGGTTGGAAAAGACCCTTAAGATCACCGAGTCCAACTGTTAACCTAGCACTGCCAAGTCCACCACTAAACCATGTCCTCAAGCACCACGTCTACCCTTCTTTTAAATACCTCCAGGGATGGAGACTCAACCACTTCTCTGGGCAGTCTGTTTCAATGCCTGACTACCCTTTCAGTGAAGAATTTTTTCCTAATAGCCAACCTAAACTTCCCCTGGCACAGCTTGAGGCCGTTTCCTCTCGTCCTATGGCTTGCTACTTGGGAGAAGAGACCGACCCCCACCTCGCTACAGCCTCCTTTCAGGTAGTTGTAGAGAGCAATTGTATTGACATTGAGCAACTGTATTGACATTGTCAATACAGTTAAACCAAAAAAGGGTCAGTTGTGACAGTTCTGCCCTGGACTGTTTTTTTAATAGTTTTTCATAGTTTGCTTACAACTCAATAGCAAAGAATGCCTCATCGATATATTGTGTACTGGCAGGAAAGCTGCTGTGATCTGTGGTATCAAAGTACTGAGACAGATACAAATTACTGAGACAGACACAAATACAGGTGGCCTAATAGTTTGCATCTCTTGCAATATTATTTTGGACCTCTTTATGAATCTATTGGGAGGAAACTAAGCGTTCCTTTTCTATGGACTAACAGTTTCTTAGTTGTGATTGTTTTGACTCTCCTGTAAATTCTCCAGACTTGTGACTAGTTGATTAAATAATACACTGAGAATTTAAGAGGGAGACAAGGAGCTGTGGCTTCCAAAAAAACCTCCTAATTCAGTAGCTTTTCAAGGAAGCTGATTTTCTTCCTCCTTACACCAGTATTATATTGTATATCCAATATTGAAAAGTTTTTCCTTACTCTTACCCAGGTGAGTTAAAACAGACTTGATTTGCAAACCTTCCCTTCTCATTCTGTTTCTTAAAAACTGTCTTGAAAATGCTTTTTAAAAAGGCTCAGTGAATGTACTACTGTTCCATGACTCTCTTGCATCTAAATTTTCATTATTGCCCAACAATGAAAACAATGTGGTAGAATTCATGCAGAGGTCCTTTAGAAAAGATTTTACGTAGCTGATTACTTGGCAGCACAAAGTAAGTGCTTTGAGATTTATATGAATATTACTTAGTAACCTGAGATTTAATCACTGGGAACACAGAGTTAAGAACGTGTTGTGAAATTTGGGGAATGGAGGAATGAAGAGGGAGTGAAGGATTCGTAGGCAACATGCTTTTGTCACCTCAGGTCTATTGCAGGAAGCTTCAGTATAGATGTGGTGGATTTCAGCTGTTCTTTGTTAAATTCTCCTTGCTGTGCGTTAGATATCTGGAAACATGCTTCTGCTGTCAAGTAAAATGATCACCTCTTCAGAGGCTGTGTTAGAGTATGTACTGACTAAAGCTCACATTCTGCCCAAGCGTGTGTCTGTTTCAAGGGAGTTCTTGTTTGCTCCTGGGAACAATTGAACATGGGGAAGGGGTTCATCTCTTTTTCCGTGTTACTCATCTATTTGCAATCATGGTGTTCTCAGAAAGGTTATGTCAGGTAGTCTCTCTTTTATTTTGCTTTCTATGAGAGTTAAGGACATTGTATTATTTAAAAGATTTGTTGCCTTGAGGAACCTTGCATGCTGTTGCACAGCAAGCTACTATAATTAAATGGCTGAAAGCCACAGGGAGGCACTTACTATCAGCATTTCCATTTCTGTTCACTTAATTTTAAGGCTTATTTGTTTAGCATATTAATGCAGGCTTATACAAAGTATAGAATGTGGATATTTAAAAGAGGTGGTTTTCTGAGAACCATACTTCAATTTTTCCAGGTTTTTACATCTTGAAACCTTACATTTTAAGACGCAGTACTTCCTGAGAGGTCCCAATCACAATCTGTTTACAGAATTTCTGAGAAAATATTTGGCTATTACAGACTTGAATTATTTATTTCTAATATTCTTTTTCAGTTTTTTCCTTGGCTGCATATTTGAAATGTATCATGTATTCTTCTACAAGTTTAAATAAATGGAAAAAATGTTACATTTATTAATAAAGGGGGTTTAAAAATATTTTAAAGGATTTCTGTTCATTTCAAATGTGCATCCTTCCTATGCTACTGAAACAAAATAGAAAAATGGAAACAAGAAATTCCTTAAAATAAGACTTGTTATGCTAAGGAATTTTCTGTTAGGGTGAAGTTCTGATGGGTGTCTGCGCTGCAAAGTCATGTCTGTTGCCAAGACGTGCACTATTGCACTCCTTGGTCAGTTCTGTGAAAACCCCTGTAGAGTTTTTTTCGTATCTCCTATCTGCCAACGTACACACTTACAGAGGTAGTTACTGGAGGGGGTTGATATGCATTCAGGTGTGTTCGTGTTAAAGTGTACATTGCATCCCCTAATCCTGTGTCTTTGTTGTGCACAAGACCCAGATGATCTGGACAAACCCTTCCAGATGGAAGAAGTAGAGATGTGCACATCCTTTCCCGCCCCCTGCCTCAACCCGGGGTGCTTTTTTGCAGGAGAGTGAAGGAGAAGAGGAAGAAGGATTTTGTCTGTGTGTACGTCCTGTGTCAAAAAGCGGTTCTTCATTAGTGAAGCAGCAGACCCTGTAAGAGTAACAGATAATGTTGAAGCTTATATTTTATTTTAGTTTGCTGTGCTTTGTTTCAATAATGGACATTATTACTACTATAACTTTTGAATTTCCTTGCCTTCTGTCAATTTATATTTTCTATTCTCATTATGCAGATTAGATGAACTTGAAGCCTGCAGTCAATCACACACTAGCATGTAATAAAAATTTTTATTTGAATTATTGCTGTCTGATTCTGCCACATAAAATATTGTAGCTAGGTTTGGATTTTTTGAGTTAAACTGTTAATATCCCAAATTTACATATCACCACTTGCTTGTGAATTAAATTGCTATAATCACAGTGGCAACCATGAGCTTCTGATTCTCATTTCAAGATTTTCTTCATTCTGTGGGAGAATAACATATGCATGGTCACCTCTCTGATAATGGAATCAGTAGTCCTAGATTTTTCATGTATTATTCCATCTTCTCTTGCTGGGTAGGGCAGATACCCATAACTGAATTTAAGTAAGAACTTACTCCCCTTCTCCCAAAAGGAACGTGGTCTTGTATACCCAAATATGAGCTGCTTCAGGTACTAACAACTGTGCTTAGACTAGTAGGATTGCTTTTGCAAACTGCTCCTGCAGTTTGGTTTAGAAATTTGTGCAGGCAGTCCCATGTGTCGTTCATAACAGCTTTCTGGAAATCTGGTGAGATTTGTTTCCTCTCCTCCCCATGCAAGTCATCTGCATTTGTGCTATGGGTAAAGATCAGCAAGGTCAAAAGATAACTCAGCTGCAGTCTTTGAGGTAGAAAATCCAAATATCAACCAAGTCTTTTGGTCAAGACTATTGCAATAATTACAAAATCTGCTTGTGTAATTTTTTTCCTTTAAAAAAGATTTAAGCTACTTCTGAAAAATTAACTTTCTTTTAACAAAGATGTTTACCGTGATGTGGTAGCTAGGTATCAATTACAATCTGATGATAGATATAATTAACAAGTTCAGATGTAGACCTGGAAAGTATTTATCATAATCTTTACTGATCTAATGCTCTAAGCAAAATATCCTTTATAAACCATTCCAGTGTGTTTTTGCAATCGAATTAAATTGGCACTTGCAAGGAATTGTCAAGAACAATGCTAGAAACTCAAATTTAAACAATGATTCATTTGAGAGTGTCACTTTTATTATGCTATGATGAATATACGTTGTCCACTAGCTTTTGTTAATAGATTACTTGCATTCTGAATGTGCAAGGGTTGTGTGTGTATATACGTTTGTATTTTCAGCTACACCTATATACGCACACACATGTATGTATTCGTACTGCTTTAAAGTATTGAGGAAGATGCGGTGGGTTCCAGAGAGGAGAATCTTTTAACATCACTGACAGCAAAGCATAGATTCTTCATTAACCTCAAGCTTTTCCAAAAATGCGTTGGCTGTTCATGAGTCTGTCTGCTGTGGAGCCAGCAG